TATAAACCATATTAGGGGACTTATAGCCCCACTTATAACTACCCATGAACCTCCAAGTGACCCTTGCGTGCTTTGCGGTGTGCGGAGGTCTTGCAAGCAGGGGAGTTTCTCATGCGGGTGGCGCTGGAACTACTTCGCCCTCGGGCGGCAATGGGCGGAAGTGGCAGGGTCTTGGGCCCAGGCCAAACCCTAAACCCTAAAAAGCCTCAACTTTTAAACCCCAAACCCCTAAACCCCAAATCCCCTAATTAAACCCTAAACAAACCCAAACCCAGGTGCCCCCCATCGGTTCTGCGCCGGCTCTCCACGCCGGGCGGCGATGGCAGACGCGCTGCGCGCTGCGGCCGTGGGCGATCACTTTGGGGCCTTGGAAGCTTCGGTAGAATTCGGAGCATCCGAGGATAGAGGGTTCCCTTATTAAGTTATACCAATAGTCTCCATTGTAGTTCCTTTTTGGGGATACCTTATAGAATCCTTAATACATATTTAGTTAAACCAAAAAAAGGAACTACAATGGAGACTATAGGTAAGCTTGATAAAAGTAAAAATAACAATAATAGCAACTTGTACTCAAAGAGAGTGATAACCATAATACCAATGATAATAACAAGAATGATAACGCTCATGATACAGGTTGTGAAAAAAGGTTTAGGCTTTGGGCTGCGAGTGAGTTTGGACTCTAGGGCTTTGGGATTCAAGAAAGTTTAGACTTATCAGCGGTTTCGGGTTGAAGGGGGCTTGGGATTCAAGAGGGCCCAGCCCTTAAACCCTGAACCCTGAACCTTAAACCTTATAGCCTAGACCCTAAACCTTACTCAAACTTTAGGGGTTTAGGATCTCGGTATCAGGATGCCGGGTGCACAGTCAGGAGTACTGTACCGCCTTTTGTTTGCATGTCTTTTCGCGTCATGTGTAACATTCCTACTGGTATCATTATTTAGGGTTTGGGGTTTAGGGGGTTCCTACCTTGTCTACCAGGCCCGACACATTGCGCAGTGCGAGATGGACAAGCTATGCAACGCTCCCCTTCCAAGTCCAAGCACCCTAGACCCTAAACTAAAGACCCGACAACCCCAATCCAGACCCTAAACCCCTAAACCCTGAAATCCCTAAGCCCCTATAGATCCTAACCCGTATAAGCCCTAAACCCTTAAACCCTAAACCTTAAACGCCCTAAACTTGAAAAACCCTAAGCCACAAACCAGACACCCAAACAGCCCTGAGCTCCATTTAACGTAAACCCGAAGCCCGAATTCGCAGAGTCTTTCGTGATCCGAGGTCGACGAGGCAACCTGCGAACTCTAACGGCCTTGGGTCTGAGGGTGGTCGTTTTCGTGGGTTCCGGTGCGTTTAGGGTGTACTTCAGCGTTCAGGGAAAGGGCAGGGGAACATGAGTTTTTTTTAATAGGTTGCTTTTTTTTGGTTTTCAGCTAGGCAAGCGGTTCTTTTAAAGTTCAAGGCGAATTTCAAAACCCCCCCAAACTCCATGAACCCTCAACCTCAAGACCACCCTAAACCCTAAACCCTAAACCCTAAACCCTCAACCTTAAGACCCAAATTAAAAGAACTCCCCAAGTTGCTAGGTTTTGGTTGCGGAACTCGGAAGGCATCGGTCATGGGGATCTACACTCCCCCCCTCCACACTCCCCCCCTCCACCGAATAAGAGCGGATTAGTGAAAATGCGTCGTGCAGCCACGAAATCACGAATTTAATTAAGGCCGGATTAAGGGTGGAATAAGGTCATGACGGAGGCTTCCCAAAAATCAAGGGCTTATTACCTAGGTAATAAGGCCTGAATTTGGGTGGGAAAAATAAGGGCTTATTCCCTAGCGA